TTCCATTGAATCATGGAGCAGAGTCTTCTTTCATCATATGAATATGTATATATCTATATATTCATAATGATTTCGAAACGGTTCTTTTCGAGTGCTGTGATGGTAATTACGGTAATTTCCGAATTTTCTGATTAGTAGACTATTTCTGAGGGAGTAATTCTAATATTGGATATATTATTAGGGAAATTTGAACACTACTGGAGTTAACTGATAGGAAAAAAATGTGGCGGCGCGTCTGACCCAATATATTGTGACATATTAAGATCGAGTATTTGTCGAGTTGAAAACGCTTTCTTCAAAACATCAATTTAATAGAAAACTTGATATAAAAAGGAATAAGCTGTTCGAAACGTTGGTTTCGATGAAAAGTTGATGATATGGGGTAAGTCGTGAACCAAACTTGCCATATATACCTTATTCGAGGTACAATGCCCCATTTCAAACTTTTATACATCACAAAAAGCTTTACCGCGTTTCAGTATTTTGCCTATACACTAACTGGATGCTACGAGCTGTATGTTGGTAGAAGTCACCGAAAAATTCCTATTTTAGCCGTAAAATTTTTTACAAAAGTATTAAGTCTCCATAGTATTATCATATTATGGTTTAAATTTATCTGCTTTGTTGATATGTCTATTCTACACTTAAAATAGTGCAGAAGATAGAGAAAGTAATCAAAATGAAATTAGAATAGTTTGTATGTTTACAAAATTACGATACAAATTGATCAAAAGGTAACAGGAAATGAAAATGCAAACACATTTCTCATACGACGTACCCGATTAATATGAATAGGTAATATTTATTCCACTTGTATACATATATCTTAATTCTTGAAGCAGAATTGTATTGAAAAATGTTTTATTTATGATCTTATTTTTTGTGAAAAATAAACAAATCAAAGTTTATCTTGAACAGCATTTATCAAATGTAGGCATCCTCACAAAAAAATGCTCTTATCCAATTTATTTTCGTGTAGAACTTCTTGCATCATTTGAAATTGTTTTAACTCATCATTGTATTTTATTTTTATAAAAACAAAACTGTTCTTCAAGTGTACTCCGTTGGAAATTTGTGACATGGCAGCTCTAATGTTCAACATGAAGCATAAGTTTCAATTGACAAAACATCAAGAAGAAATGAATGCTTATCTCAAATATATTCATGCATCGAGTTTCTGATTTCATTCATAAATAGAAAAAAAAGAACTTCTTACATAATTTTAAAGATCTACCATTATATCCTATAAAAATCTGATGACACGCACGATGATTAACTCTCAACGACACATTTTTAGAATTCTCATTTACTTTGAAAAAAACATACGGAAATTAGATGTAAATTCAACAAACGTGTCTCAATAATTAAAACGTTGTTATTATTGATTGTCATCCTTTTGATAGTTGATTGGTTAATATGTAATTTATTCTTCTTAAATTTTGTTTTCAATTTTATTCATGTTGAACAACTCTAATATCTTTATTATCACATGTTTTTCTTTTCTGTTCATATTTTCATGAGCAAACAAAGAATCTCTTTCCTTACCAAGATCGATTTCTTTTATCTTTAACAATCCCAACGAAACAAAAACATAACATGAAAAAAAAAACAATCCTCGAACTTCTTGAACGAAGTATACATATATATAAATGTAAATATTTCCTATGAATCAGAAGATGTTTTAATCATAATTGGATCTTCAATTCGTCTAAATACTGCCAAATATTTATCACCTTTATTTCGTTCGACTTTTTTTCCTTCTTCAGTTGAACCAACAACATGTTCAATACATGGATCATTTTTAATTAAAGGATCATCATTATTTATACGTTCAAATAATGGAAATTGTTCAAAACATGAACACATCCATTCATGTAAATCTAATACATCTGTACATGTATAAACTAAACCATCTATACGTAATAAATAAGCATATTCAGCAAGTAATTGTTTATTAATTATTCTCCATTTATGTTTTGCTTTTTTAAAATGTGGATCGGGATAAAGAAAAAACATTTTTGATAATTGACCTTTATGAAAATAATTTGGTAAATATTTCATTGCATTTGTTCGTAAACAACTTATATTTGTATATTGTTCTGGATATTGCTCGCGTAAAGCACGAATACGATCAAGAACATAATCAAGTACTTTAACACGTATTTCCATGCCAAGCATTAATTTATCAGGAAATAATGGTGAAAGTGCAACAAGTAAACCACCATAACCACAACCAATATCAACAAATTCAATTAATTGATTTTCATACTTACGTCGTTTATTAGAAACTAACGATTCATCATCAGTTGATTGTTCAGGAGATTTTATTATTGATGGATAATGTGATGACCAATCCATATCATCTGGTTGAATAGGATAATCAATTGAATGATCTGATAATGGATTAGAATGAGCTCGTTGTCGATAATATTTCTTTTGTGGTAATGACATCTTATCTGAAGACAAATGAGACAAAAAGAATATTCAATAATCATTTTGTTTTTTATTTTAAAATTCAAGTTTTAACATAGTTTTCATTTCTGTGAACATTAAATACTGAATAAGTGAAAATGGTAAAAATTTATCAAGTAGAACTGTTGATTTACTCAATGGATAAGGAAGATTTTTTCGTATAATTAATCGTGTTATATCTTTTAATCGTCTTGGTTTTAATAAATAAAATTCAAGTTCACCAATGAATCGTTCATAATCAACAATAGCATCCATAAGACTTGTTTCATTTGTTGTTTGTTGTTGTTGATAATTACGATTTATATAAGGAAATGAACATTGCCACGCGCGACATGGTGCACCAGCATAAAGTGCCATACGAGCATGATCATATAATGCATAATGAACAGCTCGTGTTAAATAAGTATTACCAAAATTATTTTTTAAATCAAGTCGAGTACCTTCGATAATAAGTTCATATGCTGAAATAATAATAATAATAATAAAATTCATCTAATATAAAATTTAACAAAAATTAAAGTAAAAGTAAAACATACCAAGTGTTAAATTACCACCATGATGTAATGTACACATAAGTGGTGTTTCAAAACAATCATCTCGATGATTTATATCACATCCAAATTGAATAAGTGTACGAAGAATTTCAAAAAGACTTTCTGTCGGTTGTTCAACAGCTTGATCACAGACAAGATGAAGTAAATTTTTACGATGTATGGCTGTAACTACATTAACATGTGCACCTAAAAAAAAAATATATATATATACATTACTCTATTTAAATAATAAATAATTTCTTTTTGTTTATTTACCGTAATTTAATAAAAGTTGTAAGAAAATAAATTCACCATCGATCGCTGTTAAATGAACAAGACGCATATGATGTGTATTATAAACATTGGGTGAAGCACCGGATTGTAAAAGATATCGAAAAATTTCCTTAGCAGTCTAATAGAATATATATAAAAAAAACAGACAAATGCATAGTCTATTCATATACACATACCACTAGCGTACTTCAAACAAAAAAAGATTTTCATGCTTATTTTTATATATTTGATAAGCTTCTATCAATGGAATGATTGTATAGGAACGAACAGAACAATTGACATCACAACCAAGTTCAACAAGTGTGCGAACAAAAGCAAGATCATTACGACGAATAGCGATGATCAATGCCGTAACTGAATGTGTATGCGGATAACCATCTATTGGAAATCCTAAATAAAAAAAAATACAGAATAATATTGAGGAAACTAAGTATCAGAAAAAGATAATTACCATTACTATGTAATAGACGTAAAGCTTTTTCTTGTTTAAATTTTGTAGCATAAGCACAAGCATCAAATTGTTGTTCCAGAAAATAATTTAATCGTTTTGGTTGATTATTTAAAAGATGTTTAATCTTTCTTATCTTCCCTTGATGAATGTATGATCGTAAGCGACTTAAATCAGCTTTCATTTCGTTGTTAGCCATGAAAAACTCAACATAAAATGAAATTGCTTTTGATTCTTACTCAATATTATTTTATTTCAGTGAAATGAAAAAAAAAGATACTTAGAGTACATGGGAATTACACCAATAGAAATGCAATATATATTTGTGAGGAAGACATACATGAGATGGCGCACGTACACACTGTAAGAATAAGAGGTTCAGTTAACGTTTGCATGAATTATATGACAAAAAAGTTAGTGCTTAATATAAGCAAACGCACGGAGTGCCGTGCAATCTACTTAATATTAAATATTGACAGCATTTAGTCTATTCAGTGATTTTTCGGACGTATAGAATTGTTCGAATCGTGAGGAATTTGTCTGGCATTCTATTAGAAAGAAGAAAAATATTTTCTTTTCTAAAAAAACTTGTCACATTCTCTTTCCTAAAGTTGATTGTCTCAAATCAGTTCTTAATATTGAATATATGAAGATGATAACTCATTAATAGAGCAGAAATAATAAAACCACTTCTTGCAGCTGCTGCAGTGACTTATCCACTCATAGCTTTATATGAGAAAATTCGATTGTATCAAACCAGTATGATATCAGCATATTCTAAATCACAATTGACTCTTCTGCTTGGCATATCAAATGTGCAATGCAAAGAAAAAAGACTAACTAGATATGTCGGTGATCAGTCTCAATGAAAACGAGAAAAAAAAATAAAATATACAAATGTGTTCTACCGAGATAAACTGTGGGTAGGAAAAGTTTTTAAGAAAATATTTCGAGATATGTCTTTCGCATTAAAATAACCGCCAAAATTGTTTTAAATAATAATAACGTTTCAAAAAATAATTGCTTTTCATGAAACACTATTTTATGTAGAAAATTGATTGATTTGTAACATGTTGGAAATATCAAGAAACAGAAAATATACGTTTTCAAGACTACTTATTACAGGCTCACTCTCAAAAGAGATACAATTTTTCTTTAAAGCTATTATATAAATAAATGGCGAACAACAATCGTCAAAAGAGTTTTGTCAGAATATAATAAATATTGATTTCGAAATATTTTCTTGAATTATTATGGCATTTCAAAGTGACATTGATTCAGACGTGACTGAAACTTTCACAAATGTTGAATCTGATGATGAATTAGATAACGATTCAGTTTGCGACTTCTACAAAGGCTTGGGTAGCGACGAAGAAGAAGAACAGGATAATGAATCAGATAGTGAAGAAGAGCAGGATATGGAAGAATCTTTGGACGAAAGACAATGGAGAGTAGATCGATTCAAACCAAAACAATTTCCCTTTGACTCAAGTGAATCAAGTATCAGCTCACATGTGCAACATATTGATGAGAATTCTGCACTAGAGTACTGTCGTTTAATATTCGACGATAACTAAATGTAAATAATCGTTGAAAAGACAAATAGATATCATTTGCCTACAATGCAACATGAAAACCTTCTTAAAAGATACCATGCAGCGATTTGTTCTATTATATTCGAAATGTATAAATTTTTTGCAGTTTATATGCTAATGTCTCATACCAAAAAAGTCGAATAAAACAATACTGGTCTACTGAACCGTCGATCTCAACACGATGTAAGGAAATTTAGCAGCCGATTCGAGTATTTTCCACAACGATTCGCTTCAGCGACTAAGCCACAAAAGAAAACTAGTAAGCCATCTAGAACTCGACAAGCTCCATCTCATGCTGTCATCGGATTCCCCAAAATTTCCACTTGGACGCCAAAAAATTCAAAACGCCAAGAGGGAAATACTAGCATTTTTCGTAAAAAGCCTCACGATTCGCCCGAGTACTTAGGCCACTCGTGAATCATATGCCAATCGACGCAGAATTTCACGCTCTATCTAATGGTATATAAACCATTTCGATAAGAGCCTCTTATTACCGATCCGGTTACAGGAAAGCCTCAAAAACCGAATTTTCCAAAGTCTTACCTACGACGATTCGTCCAGAAGCTTAAGCCACCTGTGAAAACCATACCATTCGATGCAGAATCGTGAGTTCTATCGAATGATGTACAGCTTGCAGGGCTAAACATAAATCCGATGGGACTTTGACCCTAAAAACCTTCGAAACCTATCAACACAAGAGACTTCCCACAGTAACTTTCATGACGATTCGTATAAGTACATAAGCCACCGACAAAACATGTACCATTCGATGCAGAATTTTATGCTCTATCCAATGATGTATTGCTTTCATGTCTGCGCACCAATCACATGGGACTTTGATCCTATAAACCGTGGAAACCTATGAACACCTGAAACTTCCTACAGTAACTCTCATATCCATTGGTTTAAGCGCATAAGCCACTCAAGAAGCCTATACCATTCGATGCAGAATTTCACGCTCTATCGAATGGTGTATAGCTTGCATGCATAAGCGCCAAGCAGATAGAATTTTGACCCTAAAAAACTTTGAAAACCAGGAAAAGTTGCGATTTCTCCGCACTAACTCCCCTGACGATTAGTACAAGTACAGAAGCCACCGACAAACATATACCATTCGGTTTAGAATTTCACGCTCTATCCTATGGTGTATAACGGACATAGCTTTCCATGACTGAGAGGCGACCTTGACAGAAAACACTTTGGGAACCTGGAAAAAGTTAGAATTTCTGCCTAGTGACAGCCATGACGATTCGTGCAATTACCAAAGGCACCGACGAACTACACATCATTGCATATAGAATTGCAGGCGCTATCTAATTGAGAGTGCATTGCATGTTGCAAGACCAATCAGATGCGACTTTTATCCCTAAAGCGTTTGGAGCTTAAAAATATGGAGTTTTGACTATTGATACGCATGACGAGTCGTTCAGCTACATAATCCACTCACGAAGCCTATACGATTCGATGCAGAATTTCACTCGATATCCAAAGATGTTCAAGTGGCACGTCTCAAGAAATATGACAGTGGACATTTACCCGTCCAAATGCTCGAATCCTGCGAAAACTTCCTCTTTCTGCCCATTCATGGTGATGCGGTTGTGTTCGACGATGTCAGCAACTCTTGAGTCGCATAACAACCGGTCCNTTAATTTTAATTAGTTTAAGTTCAATATGAAAAGATACAAATGGAATTTATATGAACCTAAAATATCGTAACTTCAATTTAAATTGATTTAAATCGAAATGAATTAATTTAAATAAAGTCTAAACAAGTTTATAGTAATTCATATTAGTTTATGTTCAATTTGAAAAAATTCTAATCGAATTTAAATTCTTTTTGATGCAATTTATATTGAATTTATATTGCATTCAAACTTATTTAGATTTAATTTCAGTCGATTTAAATCAAATGTAAATAAGTTTAAAGTATTTTAAATTACGTTTAAATTAAAAAAAGTGAAATATAAATTAGTTTGTTTGCCGCTACGAAGAAAAAAGCAACCTTTCTATCTCGAAAGTGTGCTATCTAGCCTGTGTTCATGGATATTTTAATATCATTAGAAACCAGCATGAACGAACTAATACTCTGTTATACGAAATCTTTTATCCTGATGATCGGATTATGAGCAACGGTATTAGTTTGTTTTCCTAGTCCTAGTTTAGATATTTTTGAAGTTATGTATTTTGATAATAGGGGTGATCAATTTACATTAAAAAAAATTATTCAATCCACAAATAAATTTTGAAAAAGTACAAATTCAATAAAAGTTTAAATTGGCAAGAGTTTAAATATAAAATATAATTAACAAGGAAATATCACCCCTATCTAGTACCTATAACTTAACCTGGTCTCGATCAATTTAGTGAAAAAAGTCAATAACATGTTATTATAGTTCTGAAAGTTTCTGATGAATATTTTAGAACTGTATTTCAACGTAAAGATGCGATAGAATAATCAGAAAAGTTCATCACAGCACAGATTCTCGGTTAATGGAATTATGGCATTATCCAACAACATCTAGACCCAAAAAATTTGGTTTATATCGTTGCAGTTCGAGTTAAAAAGAGCAATAATAAATCATTTGAACGTTAACCGACAAACAACGTTTTTCTTAGATGACATTTCATTTACAGTTGTTTCACAGACGATAAAACGGTGTATCTAAGTATAAAGCACTTTTTTATTACTAAAGGTTTGGCTCCGAAACCGTCTACTCATCTGATGAAAATTTTGCTTCATCAATTACCCGTCTCTTAACGTCATCTATCATGCTCTGACTTGGAAAGAGTATTTTCTGATAACTAAATGTAAATTGACTAGTAAAGAAGAGCATCATATACATAGATGCAACGTTTATCGTTTGTTGAACAACTGTAAATGAAATACTATCTAAGAAAATATTTGTTTGTCATTTCGCGTTCAATTAATTTATTCTTGCTATTTTTGGCTCTAACTACAAACATATATACCAACTTTCTTGGATTGAAAGCTTGTTGCATAATACCATAATCCCATCAATTGGCAAGCTGTATTGCGGTAAATGTTTCCCATGATTCTATCACATCCTTGCGTCGAACTCCCATTCTAAAAATTTCATCAGAAATTTTCGGGTCTATGATAACATACTACAAAATTTTCAATTTAATTTAATCGAGACCAGCTTGAGATATTGATACCATGCTAAAAAAATAAATCTTACTACTATTTGATGAAGATTTTCAATATGGTGGTCCGGTCTCCGTTATTTCGAACCGATTTCTTAATAAATTATTACTGAAGGTAACTGTGTTACTAGAATTTCGAGTCAGCGACGGCACAAAAATAAATGTAGAAAAATGACCGAGTGATGGTTTTCACAAAATAATAATAGTATTGAACTGAGAACTATAAAGAATATAAATGGATTGAAGGCAGGATGTGCTCTCAATCAGATTGCTTTGAAGTATCTGTGATTCATTTTGTATAGGGTTTCGGCAAATTTCCTCCACGAGAAAAGCAGTCACAGCGATACAAGAATAACACTATATCAGGCTGGTGATTTTGCTTGAGTGCCAAACAAATCTGTTTTTATAGTCATGACCACAAAGGCTTTCTGAAAAGACTACGATTTCGAAAGACATAAACTTACTTGTTGAATTTGTGTTAATGCTTCTGTGTCTACCACCAGAATAACTCTGTAATATATCGAAGTTGGTATATGAGTGAGAATAAAGAAAAACGTTGCCTATATATAGGTCGCAGAATAAATTTGAACTTTGTAATTAACGTCTCTATGTGGCCCAATAGAGCATGAAATATTATTCCTATACTGTCTTTTATCTCATACAAATATTACCATCGTTTTGATTGCTCTATCCCCCGAGCTTACAAAGATTAATCAGCGATGATGAAAAATCAGTGGATTGTTTGTCAATATGGGCGTCATACTGCGCAGTAACGTATTTTTTTCATCCATTGTACAGAATGGACAAAATATTTGGTTTTCACTATCCACCATTCCTCTCTCAAAAGCATAATCCTGGTCAAGCTCAAAAAATATTTTCATACATAGGAGAGACTATTCGTGTTTTTAATCCATGATCGGATCGCCTTTTCAGTTCGGTCTCCGGTTTCACACACAATTCGACTACACGTTCTGTATTCAATGGTGATCCTGGTATCTATTCTGATTTCATTGATGATTCTGAGCCTCGTGGTGGCTTTAGTAAATATCTTGATATACATCCAAGCGTTGATTTCTGAATATTGAGTGTGGATGTAAAGAAAACCATCGCCTGCACGCATATCTCCTCTAGATTCTTATCTAAATCATCTATGTGCAATATGTCATCAGCGTCTAAAAATCTCCCTAGAAAAACGAAATGATTGAGTATGGAATAATAAAAACGTTTCAAATAATTCACTGTTATTATCGAAATACGATCAAATATAATCGATTACTATGTTGATGAATAATTCAAATGCTTCGATTAATCATTCATTTGCGCTTTCATCAATTTTTTTCATTGTTTTAGTGTTGAAAATATATTACTGGTATAATAATTGTCGTGAAACTTTTGACATTGTTTACTGATCCGATTGGTCATTCTACAATGAAAATCAGCATTTTTTCTTTGTATGTAACAGTTGTAATTCTACTTCATCGTTTTAAATGTCAATGTGAACCTTTCGTTGTGAGAAAAAAATATGAAAGTCTTCTATCAGTGAATGTCACTTTGGCAAAATTATATAAACTACAGGAGCATTGTCTGTTGCACAAAATGAGAGTTTATATAAAAGACGATCTATTCTAACTGGTATTCGTACTGTTGGAATAAACTTCATTAATTTAATTGCTATGATACTTTATTTTGAAACAAAATAAAGTAATTTTAATACACAATCAACAATATTTATATGATGATAAAAGATGAGAGATAGTTCAGAAAAAAGTCAATAATAATGATTACAATAACAGCCACAACAACGACAGATAGGACAG